AAAACCAACTTGGAAATGATGCCTCCTCCGAGAGGCGATGAAAAGCTCGAATCCACCACAAGCCCCTTTGGAAAGGATTGTGTTTTTGGTGTATTTGATCATGTTCCATCACCTTTTTTTTTTTTTTCATACATAGTTATTCTTTTATTACAGACAATCCTATTTAAAATAATATTGGATAGTAAATATGAATACTTCTTTCAGTAAGAATTCAAGCCTTAAATCATTACATTATAAAAAACTAACCTTTTTAATTAGACCTAGCCTCGTTGATCGTTCTATCACTTTTATGTTACCGTTTGAATTCAATCCACAAACCAACATTAGGCACCAGCAGGATATGTTTCTTCAGAGTTTTGCAGAAGGCAAGAGTACAGAGAGCAATGCAATAGAAGAATACATGTGATATTTTCAAAAAAAAAAAAAACAGACAATGAAACAATGATCTTCTCCTTAAATTGATGTAATAAAAAAGTAAAAGGGAAGAAAACAGAACAAAAGAGGATGAAATAATTATCTGCTGCTTAATTAAAAAATAATAATAAAGTAATTTTTTTCTCAATAGCTAAAAATAAGATCACACTAGATATGGAGCACATTCCGATTCCTGTATATAGGAACTACAGTACAGTTTATTGTGTAAAAAATAACTTTATCGCAATTTATCATCATACGATGTATGCTCAATTTAACATTAGAGTGATGACCTTAAAGATCAAAACATGCCACGAGACGAAACCCTCAAATCAAATGACACCTGGTACATTGGCCAAACGAAATGACCCCTGATACCAGTCTTCGCCAACAAGTAATCATACTCAATATCTTGTACAGCAGACATAGTTATAAAATATCTTATGCTACAAGAGAGAAGGATTAATCTGGGTGAAAAATACTGTAAAATGTACAGTCCTGAAAGAAACAATAGTGAAATTCATTTCTCGCAGGTATTATTTTTCCTCTTCTGTCCGTCCTCAATCTGGCAAGCAATTACAGAGATAAAAATGACAGGTTAAGTGGAATTTTAGAAGGTTCATCACACCAATTCAATCAAAATAGCTCCAGATATAAACTTTCGCATTTGGATGGATTTTATTCTGTCCCTCAGCGTAGAGGGTTTTACTTCAGATTCAGAATATCCAAAATAAATGTCATCGACTCTCCCGACAAAAAGTGCAGCCCCGTCCTTCATAACACTTGGAACGTATCAATATAATCTTAACTGATTTTAGACTACCGCGTCCTCCAACCAGAAACAGATTTTGGGACCAGGTTGATAGCATTGGAGGCCGCCTCTAGCCTGCATCACAAAACATGCACAGATATAAAAGTGTATGCACACAGAAAATATGCATTAACTTCAACTTGAAAACCTTGCAAGTTAAGAGATACGAGGAGAGGGAGGAAAAACCCCAATCCCTGGGGGGCGGGGGGCGGTTTGGATGTGGGGTGGGGACCTTGACAATTCTTCGATAGCCTTCATAACCTCAGTTGAACTTGTTTCCAAAACCTGGCCTCCAAAGATAATCTCATCCAGAATAGAATGCATCTGCGAGTAACATCAAATAAAGGGAAAGTTTGAGTTGCACTTATTAATAGGCTTGAAGCCATTATTACTATAGGCATGGCTTGTAATATTGAGCATAACAGCACTTCCGATTCTACAAGGACACAATACTAGCTAAGCATGAAAGTCGTCAACTTACCAAACAAAGAGAGAAATTTTGAATAAATTTTTGAAAATACGCTTAACGATGAAGAATCTAATAAATCTGCCCGAGCAGAACATATATCTAGCCTATAGTGAATCATATATTATAGTTTATTATGTGTAGCATTTTCAACCAAGGCATGTTTTGAACTGTGTGTTTAAACCAATAACATAATACAAAGATTGTCCAGAAATATATAGAAGAGAAAGTCTCCAACCTTGCTATAGTTGAACACTACGTCAAGTTCACAAACATTTCTGAAGCATTTGTCCAGTGTTTCAACAAAGACTGTAGGCAGAAAGATCATAGTAAGAAAATCTCACAAACAATTAAGCAGTCCAAGAGCAGTAAAGAACAGCAGCACGAGGTCACTGTTACATAAAGCTCATGAAGAATGTAGAAGAAAATACAAGGAACATGTATGTACTGCACCCAGAATATCCTCATTATCAAGAGCAAAAGGACTCAAATGGCAGAAGAATTCTTTAATTAAAGTGTCGAGCTATATCATCACATTATCTATCACCAGTTCATCACCACTAACTACAATTATCTGAAAGAAATTACGTAGCCAAGAAAGAGATTTTCATTATCATCAAAATCACATTCAGATGATGAAATACCAATTCACTATTCCCCATTTGTACACACTAGTTTTTCATAGCAAGTATCTTCAAAATTTAAAGCACTCTACAGAACATATGCTCAGTGCAGCTCTAACTCAGTTTATGCGGATCAGAAGCAATGAGTGCTTTCCCAATGTTCAAAAGGAAATGTATTACATGATTCAACCAACTCACCTCAGTGTAAGCAAAGAAAAAGACAATAATCGAAACTTTTAATTTATATTTCATATTAAACATTATAGAAGATGATTAGAACTTTTTACTATTTGGACCAAAGGGAGATTTGGGAGGCCATTGTCTAACTTGATCACCACATATTTTTGTCCACATTCCAGTCACTTGAACAGTTCTCACCTCATGTATTTCAAATTTCCCCCTCGCAACAGTATAATAAAATTACACCATTTTTTGTACTCCAAAGGTCATATGGTTACTTTAAGACACATATGTGACATGAGGACATCACTTCACGGACCAGACCATGTAATACTATTGGACCCCACATCCTGTAGCAGCAGACCTCCTCAACCAATAAACATTCCAGATTGAAACAATTGGGGGAAAATATCAAGTAATAGTTATTTCCGGTGAGAAACCTACCTTGTATTAAGTCAAGCATAGCCAGCTCATTTTCAGAACTATCAAATATGAACACAAAGTACAAAGTTGCATAGTGCTTGTAGACAAGGCGAGCATCCTGAAGGAAAAAGAAACAGATGATTTCCCGGACACAGATATGTTTGCATTGTGGTTGATGCTCAAATGCTAGACATTGTCATAAAGAGCAGAGCACAAACAATCAATAATGTCAGCACAGCAGGATATCAGATTAATTTAGCTCTAGTTTATTTTAGATGCAAAAAAAACAAATTGCATTATAGACTATGGTTTCCCTCGAAGGTGCTTTTTCTGTGAAATCACTTTTAAGACCATAATTTAGTTTTCACCCAAACACCCCCTAAATGAACCTAACATTGAGGATTCCATTCTCAGTAATGCATACAAAAACGCGTTGCAGCAGTAGAGCAGTACTACTTACTTGGAAGTTTTAACAACAGAAAAACAAGTTCATGCTGAACCATCCTTCTTCTTTTTAACTACTCCTAGTATATGATACCATTAAATAGGGAAGAAGAGAGAAAATTAGTGAGTAGAACGTTAAAAGAAGATAATACCTGACCGAAGATGGACTCAGCATCCACGAAACTGCTAACATTTTCAGCTCTACTGCATAGGACTGTACCAACAATTAACAATAAATAAAAACCAAAACAGAAATTTGAAAGAAACAAACTTGTAAAACCATAAGAGGTAGGATATCAACAATCAAGACAATATAACATCTTCGTTCAAGCATTGTGATCAAGTAGAAGAATTAAAATAAACTGCATTGATTCATAAGACCAGAGAGAAAGATGGAGACAGAGAGAGACCTGAGAACACATTACGTATTAGTTCCTGCTGCTTCTCCACAGGCTGACCTAACACAATAAAATTAAGTCTAATCATATCGTTAACAATCACAGGAACTCGGCGAGGGAGAAAAATTGAACTCTAAAAGTGGATGGTATAGGGGAAGGACCCGAAATTCATAAAATTTTGCAAGACGGGGCTTCCCCTGCGTGTTCATGACCAATACGGCTTTTATCATCTTGCTTCTTCCTGGGAGAAAAAGAGGTTTCCACTCATCAGAGGATACAATGATTGTTGTCACGAGATAACACAGTTTCGCCTCACAGGACAGAAGTTCAAACGAAAGATAACTATAACAACAACAAAAAAATTGTCTCTGACTTGCCAGTTACAGTACTGCGCGGCAAGAAAATGTGGGGAAATAGAACTCATAGGCCACGAAACAGCAAAGAGGTTGAAAGACAACTAAGATCAACTGCAAAATTGGATGAAACAGGTATATCCGGCCAGAGACCAACAAAAAAGCACCTCAGCGATTGATCCCCCGTGATGGCGTCCACGATGACTCTCCGATCAAATCGATCACCCAGGGAGACAGGGCGACGTGTTTTACAGGTGAAGAACAAGAACTGGGCTTGGAGTAAATTCCGATAGACCCCAGACAAAAACAAAAGGCCCAGTAGCACAGCGGGAGTCGAGTCGAATGGGCTCCACACACAACCGAGAAACCTAATATCAAATTCAAGTCCGCACTCACTGAAATTTTGTGTGGGGCACAAAATCCTGACATGACATGTGACCCAGGCACGTGTTGGAGTATTGGATTTCCAAAATTGGTCCCGGCGGGGCTCGAACCCGCGACCTTCGGCTCATAAGACCAACGCTCTAACCAACTGAGCTACGGGACCTCTACAGGTAACGTGATTGTTTGATATTATTTAAATACTCTATTCAGTTAACTCCAAGTTTACTTTTCTTGCTCAATTCATAATTTGTGTGTTTGTGTTCATTTGTTTTCTATAACTGAAATCCCCTGTTGTTTTTTTTTTTTTTATAAAGTCATGTTATAAATTCACCGCAATGAATGTTAACTTGTAAAAAAAAAAAAAGGCGGCTTATGCATTAATACAACGTTACTGTTAAATAATTTTAAAAGGCAAAATAAAATGCATAAACATCATTTCAAGAGTGTAATTAGAATTTAGGCTTCTAAGGAATAAAGATATTTATGCTGATAAGAGTCACATAGGAAATCGGTACAAGTTCAGTAATACTAGGAGGGTAATTTTGAAAGGATATCAGGTAGAGGTGAGTGCAAGCTGAGGATAATACACAAGTTTACAGTAATAAATGCCTCAGGTTTCCAGTTAGCAATCAACAGAAACAAACTGGTGCTTCTTCACCTTATTAATAATCAACATGGTACTCTCTCAAGTGCTCACTGGTTCCGGCACTACCTCTGTACTAGAATGGTCATTCTTAGTGCGGAATGGGTTGTCATCAACTCCCCAGAATTTAGCAGTTTTTACATCATCTTCTATCATCATCCTTGAAAATTCTTCATGATCATACTTCAATGTTGCTTTTCCTCCAAACTCGTTGGGGAGATTTTCCACATCAAACAGTGATTTCATCATCTCTTCGCTCTCCTTGTCCTTGGGATAAACAAACTTTACCTTCTGGGACGTCTTGGGATCCAAGAAGTATCTCACAGCCTACCATAATGCAAAAACATGTTGCTCGTAATTCTCATATAATTCACATCTTACCAGGAAAAAAAAAAAAAAAAACGAAGAACAAAGAACAAACCTTCCAAAAAGCTTGAAATATCCTTGGTGGGCTATAGAGAAAAGCAATACCAAGCCTTTCAGGATAGTGATTTTGTAAGATGTAAATGATATCACGAGCTGTTTTGACAGAGACGTTAGTGTTGAGTGAAAATCCAGTGAAGTCTATCAGCCATGACATCTGCTCTTGACTTGCCGGGAGATTGAGGATAGCATTTTCCATGAGGTACACTAGATGCCTGATATTATCTTCTGGGCACGCTGTGTTCTAACAGATTAATTAATTAAAACCACGAGGAAACAAGTGGTTAGGTCAGGTGTTATAATCTTAATCAATCGAAGTGACTACTGATGGTATAGGTAGGTGAAACCAAACCTGCATTCCTGGCCTCATTATAAGCACAGTTCTTCCAGAACGATCGTGAAAATTCGCTCTTGAAACTTTTCCTGTCTCGCCCTCATGTGCCACTTCAGGCTGAGAGAAAAGTAACAGGAAATGAGTTTTATGCACAAATCTGAACATGAGAATTAGCAAAAAAGGGATGGCATCATACCCAACGGATTTCCTCAGGCTTATAAGTGGATCTCCATTTGAGTGTTTCTCCCAACATTTTCTTGGCTTTCTCAAGGTTCCAGTTTCTGGCTTCTAAGTATCTCCTTAGACATGCGTCCGTGCAATACTTTAGACTTCGCCCGGATAGTGGCCCCAGAGCAGCCCTCAGTTCAGCCACCTGATGATAACGTAGCACATGTCGTTTACCAACTTCATCATTTTTATTTTTTTTAAATGTGGGTTAAACAATTTATTCAGTTATACTGTAAATAATTTTTTACTTTTAAAAAATTAATGAATTTTCAAATATTTTAAATTAGTGCGAATAACTTCTGGTTAACAATTAATATGTTGTTTCATTAAGCATGATATATTACGGTGCTTTTTATATACATGACCTTTATTTAATTACTAATATCATATACCATATTTCGCTAGAATAATAACGGATTAACGAATGTCAATGAAATCATCCGTGAAAATTTCGATCTAAGAAAAAGATTATCTACTCTGCTGTCTATTTCTTTTCAACAACAATCTCTGCTATTTAACCTTCAACTTAGCCCTCAATGTTACAAAACTTATCATGTCCATCTTTATTTTGTACAACGAACTGCTCAAATTTTCTGGGATTACATTTTCTCGACCTCCTTTGACAACCAGACAAGCAAACATATCTTTTTTCCTTCCATATTCAGGAACAATTCACACACACACACAAATTTGTACCCGGATAAATGTAAAATAATTGTTTTAAAAAAGAGAGAAAGAACAGATAAAGAAGTGATCGAGTATATATAAGGTTTGTTTTGGTAAATTTCCGTCCCTTCGCAAGTATTAATGAAAGTAATCAAAGAAACAAAAAAAATGTCTCTTATCCTCAGAGCCAAGAGAATCAGGGAGTGAAGATGTAATAATTAACTCAAAACTAGGAAACTATATATGATGGAAAATCGAGGCATTTATAAAGGTTTCAAAGAAACATCAACCAGCCATACCTTTGCATCTTTGTACGATGGATCATTCTCCACTTGATTCTGGGTTTGCTTTCTAAGGCGGAACATGTTGGATTTCAATTGCAATTCAGTTCAACCTGCACATCATAATTCTCCATACTTAATATCCAACCCACCGCAGAATATTGGAATTCATCTGTACTCTGACAGAAATGTCCCACATATTCATTGCTCGACAGTACGTTATCAACAAAGAAGGAGAGGGGCTAGAGAGAAGAGGTAGCTGATTCCTGGACATTCCATCCTAAGATGACAAAAATTCAAAGTGCCAGATTTCTAGAACCAAAACCAAACATTGAAAAGATCAAAACTTGGATCTAACAGCCCATATCCTTACTGGTTTTGGTAGTTTTCAAAGCCTTGGTATACAGGAAAGTCAACCTTTGAAACTTCAAATTTTCTTTTCCAAACCCATCGTGACACTTACGACCAGCTAGGAACTTTGGAGTTTCAGACGCAGACGTTGACTTTCTCGGAAAGAGAAATTATTCTGCCAATTTCGTTCACACCGTCAGTGAAATCTAAATGATAAGCATTTCGAAACTCAAATGTCTCTTAAGTTAGATAGCTTATGCAGAGAATTCCGGAACTGAAGCCAAAAGAAGGCATCAAATCCCAGGATATCGCTAAGCATTTCGAATGAATCGTAGAGAACACAAAGACAGACAAAAAGCTGCTGAAAAAGGAAAGAGAATACATGAAAAGTGAGAACGAATATGATTCCCATACAAAATACGCAGTGTTGTGAGGAGAATATGAAAATATAGAACAGGAAAAAGAAATCTGAGCGACCCAATAGAGAAAATGGAGAACCAAATATGCAGGCAGGAAGAAAGAATTCGCAACGACCGTAACGAAAGTGGGGTGATGCAGGATTATCAGTTTGTGTGTCGTGAGGGAAGAATAGGAACAGAGTTACCTGAGAGGCTGAGAGAAAAACTGCCGCAATTAACAAAACCTCTGTTTCTTTAAAGCTTTTAAAGATGAGGGGAATCTCAGTGTGCGCGCCAGTTTCCCATTCAGTGGTAACCCTGTCAAAGTCCTCAGTTAAGTCATGGCAATTCATTTTCCCATATATATATATATATATATATATAATTTAAAGTTCTGACCGTATTTCTCCTAAAGTATTACTGTGCTGTGCCACGAGGATGAAGGTTGTGTTGCTCTGCGGGTTCTTTTCATTACGTTATGGTTCTTGACTTCTTGCCCAGCCTGTCGCTTCCTACTTTAATTTAGGATTAGAGGGAATTTTTGGCCATTAAGTATGTTTAACCTAGTTGGAAGGCAAAATTGAAGTAGGGGCCAACTGGTTTATTTAAGAGGAGCTCTCAGCACTCAAACAAATCTTGTAGAATCAGAAAAACTACCTTCAGACCAATCTTCAAACACGCTAGCAATTAAAGTGCATTGTGACTTTCCTGTTTATAACTGTTGTGTGAACCATTATCACCTCAGTCTCCAATCTCCGTAGTTTTAAATAATTTCAAATACTACTCCATTTATTTTGAAAAGTAAAATTACATATATTTTTTGAATTTAGAGATTTCAAGCTGTCGGTTGGCCTAAAAAAATTCAAACGGTGGGAATGGTAAGTTGGGATTTAAGAATAGGTTTTAACTGAGTTAAGACTAGTTTAAATTTAGAAATTGAGTTAAAACTATAGTGGCAAAATGATTTTTTTTCCCTAAATTATATGTACACCATTATATGAATTCTGTGAGACTTAAAATTTTTAAAATATTTATATTTTAAACTGATCCTATTTTCTTTTTTGAATAATGCAATTTTAATAAGTAATTAAAGTTGTGCTGAATTATAAAAAAAATTCTTCTTTTCGTAAAAATATGTGCATGCAATTATATGATATAGTCCTTTTGGCGCACACGAAAACGTGGTATATAATACGTAATACTACTTCCGGTCTTAATTATAAGATCTAGTTAACTAATTTGAAGAGATTAAGGAAATAAATTAAGTTAGTTATTTGTAATAAATAGGTATTATTTTTTCTAAAATGTCCTTGCTAATCAACTATATTGGCCAAGACTACCATTATTAGAAGGACTACCTTAAAAAAAAATATATAAAAGACAAAATGGATTGGGATTTTATATTTAAGACTAAAATAAATAAAAATTCTTATATTAAAAATAGGAAGTGGAGTTAGTATATTGCTTAAGCACTAGTGTGAGTCATGCGAGTACAATACATAGATTAAGGCTTTTATTTTGCATTTTTACCCCAATTGAGCGATATTTGTGGTGTATGTTATCACTGCTTGTATCATAAGCTTGTGATTTGTTTTTTGATGCAACAAGTATTAGAAAACAGTTTCTTTAAGCACCCCCCTAAATGTGAGATTATGAATTTGAAATTTTTATTAAAAAAAATGAGACATTGAATTGTGACAAAAATATTTAATATTATCTTCATGGTGGCCGTGCCAGCCTTGAAATTGAAAAATGTGGGCCTCGTGAACAACGTGATGGGCGAAACCAAATAACATAGGGATTTTACATCTGTACCCGGCTTTTAAAAAATAAAATAAAATTAGAAATGTACTTTTGTTACCACTTATAACAAATAACAAAAATGATCAAAGAGAATATGTACGAAAATATAATAAAATTTATTATTTTAGAAATTTTTTTTTGGTTCTTTTCATAAATCTCTATGATAGTTACAATGACCGTATAATATATTTTTTTGTGTTTGTTCATATTTAATATTTAATAAAGGTAATAAGAAAGTAGAAATTAATATGATATTAGAATTCAATGTATTTAATATGAGTAATATTACAAATTACTTGAATTTTGTGATTTAATTGTTTTTATTAGTAATACTCTCTCACATCTTTTTTATATGATCATTTTAATTAAACTATACAGTTAAAATAAGTTTAAAACAGTAAATATGTGAAAATTGAACTTTATTTTTTTTCCAAGTATGTAATTACTTAATAAGAAAACAAATAAAATAAAAGAGAGAAATCCTAGTAATAAGGTCAAGTATAAAAGATAAGAAAAAAATGATGAGAGAGAACTGAAAATTATTTATGAACAAAGTTGATAAAGGTACATTTAATATTCACACACTCATAAACACAATCTGAGAGCCAAATTAATTCAAATTTAATTTGTATCTTATCCACCATATCTTAATTAGGCAGTAGATCAGTTGTCCCACTCCCGCCTACATCAGTTTTGCTTTTGGATGTTCAGAAAGAAGGTAACAGATTGTCTATAATTTCTATTGCCCCTTCTTTCTTTTGTTCTTCGAAGATTTCGATTGAGGCTTGCGACTGTTAGGGCCGGGCTCATTCATTTAATATATTTCTTTTTGGTAAGTGACTCTACCTTAATGATTTCGCACACACTATAATTAGAAACATGATGGCTTCTTTTAAACAGGTAAGGAAAAGGGGAAAACATGGAACCTTGTCTCCCTCAAGTTTTGTGTTTCCATTTTCCTCCCATACCAAAGGTGAGCTAGCAATTAAGATCAATCAAGAGGAAAGGATACCCCATTCCCACCCACAATTTTCTACTATTTTAATTATTTCTTCCCTCTAACTCTATTTATAAGTTTTAAATTCAAGAAGGAGTATAATTTATTTTATAAATTTTAATTTTAATTTATTGTAATATTTAATGTATTTTTTAATGTTGTTTTTAATTATTTTTCTCTTATCATGTTTCCCAACACATTCTCTTTTATGATTTTTTTCATTTATTATAAGGATATATTTGCAAACAAAAATATTTTTTAATATATTTATTATTTTTAATTAATTTTAGCCAAGGTCCCACTAGCAAATGACACTCCAATTAAACATTTTTTTGTAACTAAATCTGACTAATAGCACCCTCACCGCTTAAATTGTATTCCTCTTGTTCTAAATATAAAACTTTTATACTAGTGTGTATAAGGATCTTATATTTAGAATCAAAAATATATTAATTAATAATTACAGGGAATTGGCATTTAATTGGCGTCTCGCGTGTTGCCACACGTATCTTAAACACACCTTCTTTTTCTTTTTTTCAGATTTACATTTTTAAAATAAATGTCAAAATTTTTTTTATAAGAATGCTCAAGTGCCTGTTAAAATACTTCTTTGCCACATGCCAGTGACGGATCGAGAGGATAACGAATGATGATGAGGCGTCCAAACGAAAGAATTCATGGAAAAAAGTTTTCCCGATTATAAAGGAACAAAATTTATGAACAAATTCGTATCCCTTGCTACCTCATACGCTCATGGTAACTTTAATAGAAATGAAAAAGAATAATCCGTTACACACAAATGAAATAACAATTATATGTAAAATACTCATTTATTACAACGAACTTATTTGATGCGTTTTTTATATTTTAATAATATAAAATACTTTTTATATATTAAAAATTTCTTCCTTTTTCTTTTTTTAATCTCAGTCCTCTTTCCGGTTTCCACTCTATTCCATGTGTAATAAATCGGGCATATAGGGAAAAAAATCTGAATATTATTAGCTTGTATTCATAGTTTTTGTTGTTGCCATATTTATAGTGTTTCAGACTTTTATTTTTCATAATATTCAATGTTAAAATTTAAAAATATTTAACATATCTATATCTATGCAATAACTAAGAATTGTTATAAAGGAAAAAAAAATTATGCATACACATTTTATGTACGTAAACAGAACTAATTAAGAAGGAAGTCGGTTAGCTTTGTTTGATATTATGACATCTAATTATTAATACTTGAGCTAGTTAAACCATTAAAAATTCAATTCAGTCCTAAATATAATACCATAATATATTTTGTTTTTAATATTTATCTATTTTATCCTCAAGTGTTCCCTATAATAATTAATGAGTAATTCCAATGTCTGATATTAACAATGATATTTTCAGGAAAAAAAATATCTGTTTATTACAAATTACTTAATGAATGCCCTGACTTGAAGGGATGAAAATGGTTGGTCAAGAAAAAAGTTGAAAATGAAACTAACATGATAAGATATAAAACATATTCAACGAGAAACTGAGGGATATAAAAATTCGTTCAAAGACGCTATAGCATGCCCGCAGACCAGAGACTCAGCAAAAAATTAAAGAGGCACGCACGCATATCAAAAAATTAAGAAGTCCATATCACAAGTTGCGAACCACATCCAACTTATTTATTCCTTTTAGGGGTGTTCAAGGCCGGTCCGTTTCGGTTCAGGTCTTATTAGGACGGGACGGATCCGTCCCGAAATTTTTCGGGACAGGACGGGACACAGGACGGGGTCGTCCCGTCCCGGTTCCTTTTTTTTTTTAATTTTTTTAAT